TTTTTTTTTCATTTCTTTGTGGTTTTTTTTTCGTACAAAATATCTACACGTTATTCACTCGCCAAGTCTCTTAGTCTCGCGTTTATTTTAGCTAATTATTTATGTAATCGGTGGGTAGTATTGAGGGGTGAATCCTGGAGATGACAATGACTTCGATGATTTAATGTGTGCGTGTTTCCTCGGAGGGATGACATTTTCAAAATATCAGTGGTAAATAAAATTTTACTCGACATCTGAAAATTTCCACTTAATTTCCATCAATCTCTTAAAAAATCCATTAACTTTCCCCTCAATTCTCCAATTAATTAATCAATCAACGGATTAATGATGAATCGATTAATTAATAGAATTGATTGAAATAATGGAAATACTTGTAAAATTTTTATTGAACGAAGAATTACTGATAATTATGATAAAAACGAATGCATCCACTCAATAGTATCCAACGTTACGTAATTAAATGTACGTAATTATGAATTAATATTTAATTAATTGATAGATTCGTGAAAATTGGTAGAAAAAAAAAACAACGTAAAAGATTTTTTTTCATCATACTATGTGGTCGATTTTAAATATAACTTTGTTAATTGTTCACTTGGGGACTCGGTAGTACCGGAGGACGAGATACCCGAGGGTCCTGAACACTATGAGGAAGGCCAGGAGGACAGCTGTATTCGCCCAGAGAGGTAGACCCGAGCCTTTTCCACCTTGACTCTCCAAAATAGCTGATACTGGTATCGTTGTTCCATTTCTGCACTCCGGAAATTTACTCGGTTGTGAGCACCTGTCCATCAATTAATACTCATTACTCATTAGTTTTAATTAATCAATTTGACGATTTCCTTTTGATTATCTGGAGAGCATTATATTTTCGTGGGCAATAAAAAAGAAATTTTTTTCAATCACCAAATTTTTCATTCATGGACATGAATTTGTAGAAACTTACGCTATTGGATCACCGACACCAAATTCGAGTATCTGCATATTTTGGTAAGCGTAGTGTACCATACTGGCGTATCTCGCCCATGCCAACCACGGAGGTACAGCAGTTGCCAAATATCCACCAAGTAATTGTGTTGCTAGAGTGTAAAGTGCAGAGGCTGTTATGCTGACCTGCAGATCCAGACAGCACGCACCAACGAAAAATCCAGCACTCTGCAATGCAAATTCATTTAACGAATTCATTTTAATAATCGATTATTCCCGATGACTTACAGCGTTCATTCAATTTAGAAGATTTTTGCAAATATAAAAAATATTATTGAAAAGGTTGACTATTATAAAAAAAAAATCAAGATTCCCACTAAAATCCGTATGAACTTACTTGTGCGACTACAGTATTGAGTAGAAGAAATGCGAGAAGTGCGATAAATACAGCTGGATTGTGGAATCCAAGCATTGGGTAACTGATGATGTGATAAACTGCTGGTAAAGTTATCGTGAGTGGCAGTTCACCCACCATTTTGGCTAAATAATAGGCAGAGAGTCTGTAAGACCCTGACAGCCTCTCCTTGTTGATGACTTCTCGCTCCGGAGGGACTGCAATAATAAACAAAAATTTTTTAATAATAAAATTGGATAAGTACTTCTCGCGATAAATCCCATTATCGCTCATAGAATTAATAAAAAAAAATAATCCAATATTCCTCTGAACTGTCGAGGTACTCACAGCTGGACAGAGTACCGAAATGTGCGAATAACATCCAGTAAGTCGTACTGAAGAACATCCAACCCTGAATATCATGGAGTGCTGCTTCAGTCCTGGGTAATCTCAACCACAGGAGACCCGCGAGAATTCCCAGGCCAATTGTTTGGAGCCAGTTTAATCGAGACAGCATTCGGGATTTTGCCTCTTGAAAGTTTCTCTCAGATAATACCTGACAGCAAGAGGAGAATTAATTTTTTTATTTTGAATAATAATAAAAATTTTCACCCACATGCATTGACCCAAAATAAAAAAATCCTCATTATCCCGAATTGAAATTTCCCCTGAGTTTGCTCCGTACACAGCTAAAATTAGAGAATTGACTGGATATTGTATTCTCAAATCGGTGAGAAAAATATATCTGAGCTTCTCACTTTGAACTGGGACCAAAAGCTCGTGGGCCACTGCCAGGAATAGTCGTCGTCGGTCGAGCTTGCGCTACTGCTTGCGTGACTCTGTGTGTCCAGCCAGAGTGTACGACCTTCATCCTCTTTCACTGGGGAATATAAAAATTCTACAATGAGTTCTCCCCCTCAAAAAAAAAGGGATAAAACATACGGAATGAGAAATGTGCATGCGTGGAACTATGAGAGACCGTAAACACAGGGAATTCATGAGGCGTTTATGGTTTCAAGGGGTAAGAGGGTTTAAAATTGAGCGATAAGCAATTGGCTGGTTGTACCTCGGTTATTACGTTGTAGTAATGATAGAGTCACTTTGCACTGTGCAATTTATTTTGAGTAGGGCTCTGGGTAATCGATTTGTTATAGCTATTTAGAGATTATTAGATTTTCATGGGACATTGTTTGTAAAGTTATGCAAATCATTATTTTCGTTTCATATTTTTGAGATTAATCGGGTATCATCCAATGGCAGGTTTGAATTTGCAAGCTTCAAATTATCATATGATAAATAATTTAAATATTTATCACTCGTTTCGAGGTGCTAATGAGTGGGTGAATATTCAGGGAATAGAATAATGTCCACAAATGTACATTTCTATATTCTTTATCTGATCTTATAATAATGAAATAATTAAGAAGAAAAGTGGAGGAATTTTGAATGTCCGTCGGTTTCACCCTCGTCGTACCCCGGCATCCCCTATATTTGTATCTCAAATATAATTTAGGGGATCGTCTGGAATGGAAGGAAATTCGTCTTGCTAATGACTATTTGATGGAATTAATTCACCTATTGGTTTGAACTATTGATTTCACCACTGCAGGCGAGGTCGTGGATTGGTTAAACCGGGGTAGCATTTCCGGTGATGGATAAACCGTCGAGTGTGTTGGGTCAGTCGGTATTATGCGGTTGTCAGTGCGTCATTGAAAATAGGTGGGATATTGGTTTGAGTGGTGTACGCATACTATACCATTGTGGGTAATGTGATGCTCGTGATAATGGATGAGATGGTCACAGAGCGGATGTTGGCTGGGATTATACTCGGGACGTAGTTCCGGTGGACAGTCCGGTCCCTGTCTTGCAGCTCGTGCTGCAGCTACAATCCGCTCTCGAACCTCTTCCGGTCCCTTTATTTGCTCCACTATAAATATTCAAGATTTCTCCATTTCAAATAATTACTCGAGATATTTCTCGAAATATTTCTCGGTGCAATTAATTAATTGGCAGTAATTACAGCAATTTATGAGAAAAAAAAAATTATCCAGTCGTCAATGAATAAAATAATTGGACACATACGGATGAAGTCAGCGGGATTGTAGTGTGGTAATAACGTCAGTCCAATGGTAGAAAAAAATCTTCCGATATTAGCGGTAGATCCGTAATACGCAACTTGTCCACGACTCAGCAGCAGTAATTTACTGAAACTGTGGAACATTCGGGAGCTTGGTTGATGTACGGTAACAACAATACTCTTTCCCTCCTGCTCGGCATATTTTTTTAGCCGAGATATGAGGGCTTGGGCTGAGTGCGAATCCAAGCCACTCGTTGGCTCCTGTAATGTCACATTAATTACACATTTATAATTGCCAGATTTTTTTTTCAACGTACATCGAGGAGCATTAGAGATGGATTCGTGAGTAATTCGCAGGCTATACTGGTTCGCTTCTTCTCACCTCCAGAGAGTCCACGTTTTGAGTAGTCTCCAATTACTGCCAACAAATTATTTAAGAAAGTTATTTAAAAAATAAATAGACAGGTGTAGTAATCATCGTAGGAATTCAATGCCATCGAAATTAGAACGACTGTTTCAACATTTGGGACAAGATATACTCACTTGTATCCTGACAGCCGTTGAGGTCGAGAACCTCGATGATATGATCCACGCACTGCATCTTTTGGGCGTGCGAAAGTGTATCCGGAAGCCTCAGACGTGCCTGATACTAAAATTAAAACATGTATCGTTAGCCCATTACATCTCACGTGCAAAATTTTAAACATCCTATAGTATAAAGAGTTAACCTACTTGGGGGGTATGTAGGTGGGAAAAATTAACATCAAATTCACATCAAAGCGAAAAAAAATTCCATTTCCCAAGTGAAAAAAAAAATTTACTATTAGGATATATCCGGAGAAATATACCAATATATTTTTAATAAAATTGCAAAATCCGCTGGTTATAGTCACTACAATAATCTCATCGTAATCCCTCGATATATCGATATATTTTCATATTATATCAAATGAAAAAAAAAAAGTACAGGGGATGAATTCCAGCGCAAGGTCACAGCGAGATTTACCGGTATGGAGTTGTCCCAATTTTTTTCGTTTTAACGCGTAAACATTTTGTTTTGTATTTTTTTTTCGGCTCTTACTATGAAATACAACGCCGGTTTTAAACGGGACATCACGTAGAAGACACACGGCATAACGGAATCTACCTTTTCGCTTGGCGCGTGTACCCCCACGAAGACGAAGAGGAAGATGAGAAAAACAAGAAGAGTAGATCACAGGGGAGAATTTTCATCTCTCTTTCACCTTTGTCTCTCTGTATATCTTTTTCATTTTTCAACGTGCACTTTTGCTCGTCGTCTCGCTCTTACGTCGGTGTGATGGAGGAATTATGCCGACCCCACGATTACTATCGCAGTGTAACTGTTGTTTCTTCAGCTATGGCATGGCAGCCAGCGAAAGGGCAAGTGAATATCAGGGAAAAGAGGGGAGGGGAATAATATATTTTAATGATTCGAGGATTTTTTTTTATTTTCTCAGACGCGGGGGTGGCTATCAGGAACGCATGCCGTTTTCCCCGGCTCTTCAGGTTCTTTTTTCTTAATAAATAATTGAAGAAGGCAGACTGGGTCGATTGTTAACCGAAATTTTAAAAAACACAATTTGCTCCGCACGCGAATTCATTGGAGATGATTGGTTTTTGAAATTTAATTTTTTGGTATTTTGTCTTGTTTAATTATACTACATAGATCTTCAATTAAATTATATAATTAGTAATCTTTAGAGTTGAGGTTTTAATTCTTGATGAACGCGGGCAATTGCCCAGTCGGAATAATTAAAAAACCATTTAAAGTCGATCGCGAATATAATCGACTTGATACTGAATTCGATTCGAATATATATTAAGTTCGAATTTATAGCGTATAAATAAATGCTGTCAAACTATTACACATTGACTGTCACAATTTTATTCCAATCTATTTTATCCGACTGGACTACCGAGGTATTAAAGACAGAATGAGAGATTACAAAATGCATTGAATGATTCGATTTGTCGAGAATGGAACACGAAACGAGTTCAGCAAGTCCGACCAGTACAATCCATTTTCCCTTGTTAAATGTATCTGCAGTGCAGTTGTCCGATTGAATTGAAATCCCCCGCCCACATTAAAAAGCTCCAGTTAATAATCGAATGGCAGTTTTTTTTTTAACGGTCCCTGATGATTCTAGGGAACAACTTTCTCTTCCCTTTGTGTCGGGTTGAATTTGAATTCCTGAGTTTTGTCCGGAGACAAGGGGAACCTTTTGCCTCTCTAACCCATAAAAGAGCCCCGTGTACCGTTAATCCAATTTTCGTTACCTCTTTTACCATTGGTCCCTCTCTCTCAGGGGGGAATTTTTAAAAAGGGAATTAAAAAAAACTAGTGAATTGCGACACCTCCAACTGTTTTATCGTTCACGTGTCTTTCTGCACGTACGATATCCGAGACTTTCTTCGACGCATTACACGCACGTGCCAGATACAATTGAACGACGACTATTCACTTCCAATGTATTCTCTCCTTTTCTAGTCTTTCGTAATCAATTTTTCCGCTTTTTTTTTAACGATTTCCAATGTAATGAGGGGCCGATCATGAATAAAAAATTTACCAATGCCAATTTACCCGAACTTTGTGGTGTATTCCCTCTCCTCAATTATTGTTCAAAAAATACTTCATTAAACAATGAATAAATAATAATAATATATTTTTATTATATTTTGAAATCGATGAGATCTTGAATTTCGGCTCGGAAAAAAAATGTCGTCCCTCATTGGGATACCGACAGTAGAATAATTCGAAAATTCGAATAATTCGCTTTTTTTTTCTCTTTTCGGGTTCCTCTTTCCTCCGAATCCGGAGGTTATAAGTGTTTACGGGCCAAATAAAACAACCGCGCATGGAACGCGTGTAGAAACAGGCGCCGAATGCTTTTTGAAACACGTAAGACGCACGGTTCACTGACCGAGTTATGACGTCACGAGCGTGGAACGATCTTTTTTCTCTGTCGTATACGATAAGAACCCGGAGTGAAACACAACGCGTAACGGTGACCCGCGCAGACTATTTGCGCATGCGCTGGGGCGTGTGACTGATAGATCTGCGCAGACAGATGGTCGGGAATCTATGATTTGCCAGCCGAAAAAACGTCGGGATGAATCGGGTCAGACTGGGATTGACTTGAGTCACATTTAATTGACAGGATGGATCAGGTCGGAGGCGGGCGGGTGATCGATAGATCTGCGCAGACTGATGCTCAGGGATCTATGATTTGTCATCTCAAAAAATTTCGGTCTGAGGCGGAACGATAAGTCTGTCCGAGTCAAGTCGATTTTTGGATTTCATCTAAACCGATTTTTCCACTTGATTCAGATCAATTATTTAAAAATTGACTCATTCTCGACTTGAATCAAACCGGAAATTTCAATTGATATTATTAGCGCTATTTGCGTTGAGATTTCTGTTACCGATTTCATAATTTTTCTCGAATTCATGTGAGAAATTATTAATGATGACTTTTCTCGGGGATTTTTCACCGATTTCTGCTCACTGCGCACAACTTCAATGGGTACGCGCGTTTATCTCTCAAGGTTTATCTTTACGATGAAATAAAACGAATACTGAGATATTTTGTTGCTTACCTCGAGGGTCTGACGCAGTGTGAGATCGGGAAAAAAGACGTCCTGCTGTTGTACATAACAGATCCTTCGACGGGATCTTTTTGTCAGTCTTTCGCGATTCAGCCAGATTTCTCCGCCGTCCGTGCCAACTCGGCCGGATAGGCAGTTCAATAGTGTCGTTTTTCCGCATCCTGAAAATATAATTAAGAATAAATTAAAAATCCAGGAATTATCCGATTCAAAATCGCAGCGAAGATTGGCAAAAAAAAAAAATTACAAACGGATAAGAAGCCAATGAGAAAGCGATTAGGAACCGATTAGGAACCAATCAGGCTCTCATTAAAAACCAATATAAATTGGGGATAGGTTGTCGCGGGTTGAGAGACTTTATGCCCCTGTTATTCACCAATGATTTACGTCACTCTGAGAGTGGGAGGGACCGGGCAAATGTTGTAATTGCGGTGTAGGGAAAATAATAGCCGAAACCAAACAATCACCTGAGGGTCCCATAACGGCTAACAGCTCGCCGGGTTTTACCACCCCGGAAACATCGCGAAGGAGGGCTCGTTTCTCCTTGAACACCTGCAATCCCCGGAAGACCAGCTGCACTGGACGAGAATCCAACGGGCAAACTAACTGCAGTGCTGAGCTTTCCACTCTGCAAAATTAAAGGTAACATTTTTTTAATTACAATATTACACCAAAATGTGAAATTATGCTAAATAAATTTCTTAATAAATCCATCAAGTGGTTATTGTCAGGATTAATTTATTTAATTGTTTGGACAGATAATTTTTCAATGATTGCATTCGTCATCTGATTTTTCCTGATATACTCGGATCATCAATAATTAGTCTGAATTATTCTCAGACATTGAATTCGTAACCCGAGTATCTAGGTCAAGAAATTCGACGACATTCTCGCTCCAACCCGTTAATTGCCTTCGATTCTTCGTTTATTTTCGGCCTAACATAAATTTTACGTAATCCAGTTCAACCCCCAACGCTCAGAAAGCCCCCAATGATGAACGGACAGTCTGCGTGTCATCATGACTGCTAGATAAATATTCAGAAAAAATTTAACGAAGCAATTGACGTAATCCGCAATGGGAAATCGTTTACCGATAATTTTTTAGGGGGAGGGGAGAGGGGAAATTCGATTAATTGTCAGGTTCAGCACCGAACATATTCCCGAATATATATATTTTTTTCAATTAATTATGAATTTCACTTGCGACTGACACTTTTTCCTGAATTTTTTCTCATACCGCGAGTTAAATTGGGAAATTCTAATTTTTACACTTTTTTTTGAATGATTTTTTATGTTTTTTTTTTTCATGGCAATTCGAAAGGTTTTGCACTGTTTATGAGCAACAAGAAAAGCTTCATCGGCGCACGTATATCCATTTTTGTCGTTGCACTCAACTTTCTAACGAATTCCCAAGAATACACAACGACCAGTTTCAGAAAGAGGGAAATGATTCTCACGTTGAAATCAGGGACTAATGAATCATCATCGAGACTAGTTTCTCAATTAACTTTTTTCTCACTAAACAAATAAAAAGGATTTATCACTTGCACTTGTACGCAGAACAATTCGTTTAAGGATATTCCGAGTTTTTTTTGATAATCTTTTTGAAAGAACCAATGGCTCTAATTATTTTCCCCAGATTGCACTCCTCATCGAGAATTAAGTCCTTTCTTTGTGAATAATTGATCATCACTGATTGACGAATTTTAATATTTAATTTTTATTCAATAAATCAATTAAAAACGAGTGAAATTCGATGAGGCGATTTTTATAGTTTTGTTGAAGCCTCATTAATCTCGAAAATTATTGTTTTTAGGAGAAATTATTAGGATATATTTCTTCTCGGGAATAAAATATTCATTAGTACCTAGAATTTTTTGAGCCCCAAAGAGCTTCATTCCACTTATAAAACCACATAAACATAACAGCTGATGATCAGACAAATATTGAACTGATGTGTCATAATACTAATGGAATTCACTGAACTATCACTCACGAAATCCAGAAATAGAGTGAAGACAGTAAGGAAAAATATTCGAGATAAAAAGAAAAACAAGAGGAAATAACCGAAACGTCATTTCTCACCAGATAATAAATTCCCGGGAGTTATCACGACACATTGTACGGGTTCAACGAACCCAATGAGCCTGCATCGAGATTCACTCCAGCATTAATTTAAATAACAAATTCAGTATTTATTTAACCAATATTGGGGGTATGAAATGGCCTCCTGGTAATCGTTCCAGCGAAAATATCACCAAGAGCTTATTGGATCGTCCAGAATCGTTAATAAAATGCTTTCGTAGTTGCTGGAGTTGAAAAAAAAAATAATGATAAAAAAGCACACGCCTCTCGTGCAATTAAAAGTCCGAGGGGTTCGTTGAACTCTCGACCAGCGGTGGGGGCCACACATTCAGGCGCCAACTGGGAAATAAAACGAGAGCACCGCTGGTTCCAGTGATAAATATTTTGGATAATCCGTGTTTCGGTTGTTTTATCAAAAATTCTGGGGCTCAACTGGTTTTTTAATGACGAGTCCGAGAATTGTTCTCGCTGATTCCGAACGTCATCATTTTGAGAGAATTTTATTTTTATAAAATTTGCGAAAAATGTGGGTCAAACATGAATGCTCCAATACCTGTGAAATTCACATCGACTTAATAATCTTGAAAAAAATAGATGAACCACTTGATAACCGAGAGTCAATTAATCCTAAATAAAAAAATCCTATTAAATTGCCACTGGCAATAATTCTCGCCCAGATTATCACTCCGTCAACAATTTTCATATCAAAACGGAGGTAACAATAAATTCATAGTAATCACCAGCTCTCTTAATTAAAAAATAAGTGTAATAATCGATCATCCAAGAGCTGCATATTTTCTTCGACTTATTCGACCTTGCTCGATTGTGAATAATCATTATCACCAGCAAACACGAGTGAAACGTCTGATCAGACAGAGTGCAATGACCAAATTACTTGACAATTCTCTTAATTTTCACAAATCACTGCAAAAATAAATTGACATCTTAATTGTCCCCTGATACTGCCACTCTTTCCTCTTTTTTTTTTATTGGAGTTCATTGTACTATGGGACGGTAGCCGGGGTGTTTAAATCTAATCGCGTCTGGTCTCGTGAATTGTTGTAAATCCACCTAGACAAATCGTTTATGGCCAGCTAAGACAGGCCTCCCAACGACATTGGCTTTACGAGGCCGGTCATGTACATACAACAGACATTGCACGAGTCTAAGATTTATCGTTACGACGCCTCGGTGCATGTACACATGCATACCATTTACTTATGTGATCTCTAACCTTTTTCCTGCGATAACAATCTCGGAATTTGTTTCCGGGCAATTTTTAGTAAATTTTTCCGGAATGATTGCGCTAATTACCGATAAAAATTAGTGCAATACTGCAATTAAAACAATCTTAGTAATCCATAGTAATCCTCCCTACGCAGGTACTGCCCGTCATCAAATTATTCAGGTGTTCATAGTAATCCCGAATTCTTGGCTAATACTATATTTATTTATTTATTTTTTTAATGGGCGAAGGGCTGAGATATACCCCAACCGAAAACCAAATGATAAATTGCAATTTCCAGGATAATGGCCTCTCTAAATTCCACCCATAATACCCTCGACCCATCAATTCCCGCGGCTGATCATCGCCTGACCTTTTCACTAGAGAGAAATGTGTGAGAACTTGGCGTTGACGGCAGGTAAGAGAAATTTGATTAAAAGCCTTGAGTTTTTATGGTCCAACTATTCAACAATAATACCATTAGCATAAAATGGCGATACAGTTGAGTTGGATTATGTAAGTGCTCCCCCGCCCGCCCCCCTACCCCACCCCCTCGAGGTCATTATTGTCGCGGACAAATTATCGGGGAAACTAGTCCTCCGGTTCACCCACGTACCCAATGATATTATGCACCAAGGGATCATGTTCTTGTGGATGTAAATCTGACGTTGTGAAATCGACCGATCGAAATCATGACTCGAGACAGTTTCGTCATTTAATGTGTTGACTATTTTTTTTTATTTATTCAACCGAAATTAATAGCGTGTCGAGGTGAATTTTTTTTACAAGTGAAAGGTGTGATGTTTGACAACAAAATTATTTTTAACTGATGCCCATTGAAAGAAAGTCGTTATTTTACTGGGAATATTTAATTGAGGCGTTGAACGAATCTCAACGGTAAAACCGTCCTGACTCTGCGGAATTACTGAATTATTTGGGATTACAACGATCACAAATCCTGCCTATTAGCAGTCACTATGCAGTCACTATGTGTGCACTAGGTATGGCTCACAGGTTTGATTACTCATAACTCCATGCATAGTGTATGCATAGTGGATGCATAATAGTAATTCTACCTGTCGCAGTAAATCGGATGCCGAAATGAGGTTGCTCCGGCCTCGGTAGCCAAAACTCACCCACGACTTTTTTTTTTTTCTCCTTCCCCCTCGCTCGACGGAGAGAGAGAGAGAGAGAGAGAGAGAGAGAGAGAGAGAGACGAAGAGCAACTCCACGCGAGAGCAATGGAACATGACAGAACAATGTTTTCTATTGCGTGACAGAAGGTGGGGGTGGAGGGGAGAGGGAGATTTAAAAAAAATAGTGATGAAAAAAAAAAGGATTGATAGAGTCGAGTGCATCGGACGATCGCAAGTAGGTACGGCTAGTGACCAGTCAGACGAATCGAGGTTACCGCGGCCTCGAGGGTTCAAGCTCGCAGCTGCGACACGCCGCGGTTCCGATGGTAACGCGGGGGATTGCATTTGCGGCATATCAAAGTGCATCGGAATTACGATTCACCTTTTCCTCGTGATGTGGAGGAAAATTTGGTCGACTTGCACGCAAAAGTGTCGCCACTATGCCCGATAACTATTTACTATGTCCAATAGTATTTGGAATGGGAACGATGGCATTAGTATGTAAGATTTTTGCAATTAATATTATGGGATTAATTCTGGGATTACGATAAACTATTCTAGGAATAGTGGGATTACTATGCGTAAGGCATAGTACTTCGAATTTTAATTTTTTTTTTAATATTGTCGTCGTTTTGGATGTCACCATTTTTTTTTCATTGTGAAATACATTATTTTGTGACTCACGTTTGATAATTAATTGCGCAACAATTTCAGGGAAACTTTGATATAAAAATTGCAGAATTTAATGAAAAAAGTTCTAGTAGGAGGGTAATGCACTCGGCAATATTTCAATTTGATTAACACAAAGTGGCATTTATTTGCCACTTGTTCGCCTCCGCTCTCGGGCGTCGGCCGACTCCTTCCATCATTGCGAAAGCTTTTAGAGAAGCGAGTGGAGAAAAAATAATCCAGAAAAATGTTGCGAGGGAAAAAAAACTAGCGCAAGCCAAAAAAAATATTCAAATGTATTTAGAGAGTTGTCAGGTTAAATAGGGATTTTCAAAAACCGCAGATATTTTTTGAATTCCCGAAAAAAAATTTTCAATGGAATTAATTTTTCGGGGGTTGAGAAATTTTTGGGAATGTGGGAATCACGCGGGAATTTTCAATTGGAAAATCAAGTGGAAATCTTTGGAGACTCTTTGGTTTTCCTTTTGAAATTTTGGATGAGTTTTTCTGCAG